TCTTAACTAAACATCCTTACTTGTCTTAAGTAAAAATCCCTACTTGTCTTACGCAAATATTGTTACTTATCTTAACTAAACATCCTTATTTATACCAATTAAACATCCAAATTTATATGAATTAAACATCCTTAGGTATCATAACTAAATATCCTAACTTATCTTAACTAAACATCCTTTCTTATATCAATTAAACATCCTTTATTTACATTAACTAAACATCATTACGTATCATAACTTAACATCCTTATTTATCTCACCTATTCATAGCCCAACCACGTGATTTCCAAACCCATCAAACAATCTTGAAAATAATTTCCTTAACTCGAACCTGATCATGGCAGACGCATTAAAACCCCATGACATCTAACAACTTACTCCTTTTCCCCCATGACACCAAACATCTAACAACTTACTCCTTTTCCCCATGACATGACACCAAACATCTAACAACTTACTCCTTTTCCCCCATGACACCAACATCTAACAACTTACTCCTTTTTCCCCCCATGACACCAAACATCTAACAACTTACTCCTTTTCCCCCATGACCAAAACATCTAACAACTTATTCATGCACTGATTATTCACTCTCCTCCATGGACGACGAGACACCGTACTGGCCACGACGGACGCCCTTGCTTGCACATACATTTTATAGGTTTCCTTCAGACGCATCGACTTTTAGCCGTCTGTCGCTCCCGTGAGTTTTGTCCCGTTGAAGGGAATGTGTGCTCGTTGAAGAGCCTATTTTGGAAGCACGTTATACAAAAAAAAATATATGTTTGATACAGGAATGGGGACTCTTCTCTATATATCTATCTCTCTATCTATCTATCTCTATCTCTCTCTCTCTCTCTCTCTTTCGTTCTCTTCTCCTTCCTTTTGTTTCTCCTTTTTTTTACCCTCCCCCGCCTTTTCCTATAACCCCCCGCCTTTTCCTATCGCCCATCTTTTCCCTTCCATTTCCCTTCCCTACCTTTTCTCTCCCCTCTCCTTTTCTCTCTCATCTTCCCCCTTCGTATCCATTCTTCAACTCCTTCCTTCCCACTTTTTTTCGTTTCCTTCCATTTCTTCCCCATCCTCCTTTTCCCTAAATTCATTCCCTTATCCCTCTCCCCTCATTTCTCCTTTCCTTCCTTCAGTTTCCTCTCTCCTATTCCCTCCACTTCTATTCCCATTTTCATCTATTTCCCCTTCTTATCCTTCTTCACTGGACCTTATTTTTTAGTCTTTTAGACCTCCTTCATCCATTCCTTATTCCATTTCCTCTTCTCCTTTGTAATCCCATTCCCTCCCTTTTCCTTTCCCTTCTCCTTCTATCTCCCCCTTTCATTCATCCTTTTCTCTTTACCAACCTTTCCTTTATCACTTCTTCCATCTTCTTTCTTTATTTTCCCAGCTCTCTTTTTCCTTTTCCTGTTTCCCTCCTTTCCACTCCCTTTTTCCTCTCACTTCATCCCTATTCCCCCTGCTTCTCTCTCCATTCCCATTTCCCTCCACCTCCCTCCCTTTCCCCTCCCTCTTCCTCCACCTCCATTCCCCTCCCTTCTCCCTTCACCCCATCTCTCTCCCTCCACCCTCATTCCCCTCACTTCTCCCTCCTCCCTCCACCTTCATTCCCTTCCCACCTCCCTCCTCCCTTCACCCCCATTCCCTCCCATCTCCCTTTCCCTCTCCCTCCACCCTCATTCCCCTCACTTCTCCATCCCTCTCCACCCCCATTCCCTTCCCATCTCCCTCCTCCCTTCACCCTCATTCCCCTCCCATCTCCCTTTCCCTCTCCCCTCCTTTCCCCTCCCTTGCCTTCCCCTCTTCTGCTGTCCCTCCTAATGGTGTGGGTATTGAGGAGTACTTAGTTCCTAATGGTGACAGAACGCTGGGGTTAAAGGATATATTTCTTCAGAGAGAATACCAATAACATGTGTGTGCGTGTATGTGTGTGTTGTGGGTGTGTGGGTGGGTGTAGGGGTGGGTGGGGGGTGTATTTGTGTTGTGTGTGTGTGTGTGGGGTGTGTGTGTGTGTGTCTGTGTGTGTGTGTGGGTGTGTGTGTCTGTTCTTATCATGAATGTTTTTATTATCCTTACTATCGTTATTATCATGATCATCATTATTATTATTTCTTATTATTTCACTATTACTTATCATTATTATAATCATCATCATCATCATAATCATTATTATCATTATATAGATTATTATTATTATTATCTAAATTATCATTATCATTATCATCATTATCATGATTAATGTCATCGTCATCGTCATCTTCGTCGCAATCATCGTTATTCTCATTGTGATCATTGTTATTGTGTATATCATTATTGTTATTATTATCATTGTTGTTATTATTACCATTATAATCAAACTCATTTTTTTATATATATAACTTTACACAAACACACACTTGTACGTACGCAGATAGGTATTGTATAGGGTTAATTGTGCGGTAATCACCATATGCTCATTATAACAACAGACATCGTGACAAGTGGCGTTCGCTTTCTCGCATTCTTGTCTCTCTCTCTATCTATATATCTGTCTGTCTGTTTATCTATATATCCATCTGTCTATCTATCTATTCATCTTTCTCTCTCTCTCTCTCTCTCTCTCTCTCTCTCTCTCTCTCTCTCTTCTCTCTCTCTCTCTTCTCTCTCTCTCTCTCTCTCTCTCTCTCTCTCTCTCTCTCTCTCTATCTATCTATCTATCTATCTATCTATCTATCTATCTATCTATCTATCTCGCTCTCTCTCTCGCCTCTCTCTCTCTCTCTTCTCTCTCTCTCTCTCTCTCTCTCCTCTCTCTCTCTCTCTCTCTCTCTCTCTCTCTCTCTCTCTCTCTCTCTCTCTCTCTCTCTCTCTCTCTCTCTCTCTATCTATCTATCTATCTAATCTAATCTATCTATCTATCTATCTCTATCTATCTATCTATCGATCCCGCCTATCTGCCCTATCTATCTACCTATCTATCTATTTTATCTGTCTGTCTGTCTATCTGTCTGTCTATCTGTCTATCTATCTGTCTATCAACCTATCTCTGTATCTCTCTATCTATCTATCTATTTATTTGTCTATCTATTTATCTGTCTCTATCTCTCTCTCTCTCTCTCTCTCTCTCCTCTCCCTCTCTCTCTCTCTCTCTCTCTCTCTCTCTCTCTCTCTCTCTCTCTCTCTCTCTCTCTTCTATCTATCTATCTCTCTTTCTCCTCTCTCTCTCTCTCTCTCTCCTCTCTCTCTCTCTCTCTCTCTCTCTCTCTCTCTCTCTCTCCCTCTCTCTCTCTCTCTTTCTCTTCTCTCTCTCTTCTCTTTCTCTTTCTCTTTCCTCCTCTCTCTCTCTCCTCTCTCCTCTCTCTTCTCTCTCTCTCTCTCTCTCTCTCTCTCTCTCTCTCTCTCTCTTCTCTCTCTGTCTCTCTCTCTCTCTCTCTCTCTTTCTCTCTCTCCCTCTCTCTCCTCTCC